GGAAAATCACTATAAAGAACGGCCAATGAAAGTCAATTGTTTGTTCTTCTAAGGAACGACGAATATTACCAGACCTTCCTCTTTCACCGACGATTTGCCAACATTTCCTGATAGTAAGGTGTCCAAGATAGATAGATAGAATGAACAGATAGATAGATAGATAGATAGATAGATAATGAGATAGATAGATATGATCAGGCTTACATATATTGACTTAGATCGATATAAGAAACTATTGAGGTCGATAAAAAGAAAAAGATCAAAGTAGGATATGAGATTAAAAAAAAAGTGACGAAATGCCGATTATTCAATCGATAAGGAAAATGTCGCAATTTTCAAATGACTTCATTTGAACGATAATTGCGTCATTTCTATGTTAATTTCTGTTGTAAATCTAAACGCCAAACGTGACAGTAACAATTTCCATTCTGTGTCGCAATATAATCGCCCCACCTTTACTGACCTCTTTGATAAAAGCAATTATGTCCAAGGACATTCCAAAATGCAATCATCAATCCACATTACAATGTGCTGATAAAATGCAAGATTGTCGCTTTTCTCAATAAACGAACTATATCGAATGATAGGCTGAGTTACAAGATGAAATTCAATCCTCATTGGGGAATTTGAGTTTTCCTTGTTCTCATTCTCAAAGCCTGTTTTAGCATCTGCCGCACTGTTTCTCTAACCATAATCAGTTCTTCTAGTATCGGGCCTTCAATTTTAATCTTTGATCTGCGAGTAACGAGTTTCGCATTCTGTCGACATTTGCATCTTGATGTTTTTGACCGATCACTTCTTGTGAGACTGTGCCCTTCTTTTCACTCTTTTCTGAACCCACACATCACTCTGACCCCACCGTGGCACTCAAAATCGCAAACATATATCAGATAAGTTTGCCTATCGTCCGATTCACATACCTCCCTGGCCTTTTGGACAGGAGTAGAGGTTCATCCCTTGACTCATGTTTAGGATTGGGTTTCCGATTCCTTCTAAAGTCGACTTCAGCTCTATCATCCTTACGTCTCCACCTGAACCCTGAAATTTTATTCCGTAATTAAATCTTAACCTCTTCATATTTAGAATTAGCTAACTTTCCTACTGTCTGGCCCTTTCTAACGCAAATACAATTCCACACGTTAATGATATACCTTGAGTGGCCCTTGGGCCTCAAAAATATAAAAGAGGGAAATTTGCTATTCCCTTTTCCTGGTCAGCCATTATGACCTACACAAAGCAATAATGAAATAAGATGAAAAGGGATGTTGGATTCATGCCTTTCCAAAGATTATAGTGTGAAAAGAACTTTTGACAGATATTGGTAAATGCAGTAAATTTTAAGACTAGCACTTTGTAATTAAAAGCGCTAAGTCATTTTAATGTGACAATATTCACATTAATGACTAGATGACTGGCGATGGGACGTGAGAGACGTAAAAATTTTATCAACAATTTCAATAAGAAACTGGTTTCATTTTCATCTGTCCGTGTGTATACATATAAATGTATGCGAGCGTGCGTGTGTGTGTGTGTGTGTGTGTGTGTGTGTGTGTGTGTGTGTGTGTGTGTGTACAAAAATCAAAGAAAATAACAGATTGTTCAAAAGGAAATACATACAAAAAGTCTAAACAAAAGCCTCAGGTAAGCGTTGTATATAAATGACACGCTAAAAATACGATTGTTACTACGATATGAATATATGCCTTCGCACTTTCTGGGCATCGTCGATCAAGGTTCTCCACATATTCCTCTTTATTAACTATGATCTGCCGTGACTTCTGGGGAAAGTTAGTGGCGGTTAATGATGCGTTATCCACTATTTTGAATTGAAGTTGTCCTTTTTCTAGTGACTACTGCTCAAGATTAGAAAGCCAAGTTTCCATAGTTTTCTCACCTTAGAAAACAAAGACAATACAATTAATTTACATCATTTGCATTTCATGGCTCTACGCATATATCATCTTCTTTGTTAACTGGAAATTGTCATGATTTCAAGAGAGAAATACTGAAGTGGTTTTATGTTGCTTTCTCCATGGTAGACTGGACTCTCTACACCTTAACAGCAGCCAGTCTTGGAGAAAGACAAGTTTGGGAATAAAATAAATAGTTACGTCAATTGACATCAGAGAGTCCCGGGTACATAGCAACATTTCCATTCCTAATTTGGCACAGTAACTTTTTCTATCCTCTTCTTTTGAAATTGGACCAGACTGTTCCACAACTCTCTCTCTCTCTCTCTCTCTCTCTCTCTCTCTCTCTCTATCTATCTATCTATCTATCTATCTATTAGTACATATATGCAAGTGCAGACACATACAGGCACATACACACGCATACAAACATGCAGGCGCACAATATAGGTCCAAATTTTAGCGTCATCTTCTGGATTTCGTAGAATGGTCTAAAATCTGAAGGTTGAGTATTTTTTTTTAATCTAATTTACTAACTCACTTCATGCAAGAGGGACTTTTGCTTTCTATGCAAAATGTTGTCGTCCTTAAGTATTTTCTTTGACATTTCTATCAATATTTGTCTTTTTATTAAATCGTTTGAATGATTACGCTTTTACTTTTCATGGATTCTGGTTTTAAAAGTAAAACTAACAGAGTTTTTCTTCTATTTTTCTTCTTTTTTCTTCTGCAAAATGTTGTTGTCCTTGAGTATTTTCTTTGCAAGAAAACAACGGCCAGTAATCTCTAATTAACTGCCATCGATTCAAATGGTCGCCCAATGCAAATTTGCCACAGAAATGTTACCTAATTTTCAAACATTAATTGCTGTTATGATTGTATATATAAAGACCCACAGAAGCCGAACTTTTATGCACATATTTTTCGCAAAATCACAGACAATCATACGCGCTTCATTTGTAAACATGGCTGAAGTTAATTTAGTTCAGATCGGATAGAAAACCATAATAAGCTTTGTATAAATCCAAACATCTGTTCACTGTGGTAAATTTTTCTTTGCTTTCTTTTTTTTTTTTAATTATTCTTTCTTGTGTGTGTGTGTGTGTGTGTGTGTGTGTGTGTGTGTGTGTGTGTGTGTGTGTGTGTGCGCGCGTGTGTGTGTGTGTGTGTGTGTGTGTGTGTGTGTGTGTTATGGCTTTTTCTTTCGTCTCTTCTTTTTCCGTTCTTTTATTCCTTTCTTTCTTGCCTTTTTCTTTTCCTTCTTTTATTCCTTTCTTTCTTTCTTTTTTTCTTTCTCCATTTTCCATCAAAGTTATTTTCTTCCTTCTATTCTTTTTCGTTCTTTCTTTTTCTTTTTCCTTTACTTTCCTCCTCATCTGTTTTCTTTCTCTTCTTATTTTTCATTCCCAGTTTCTTTCTTATTCGTCTGTCATTTTTTCCCTTATTTATTTTTTCCTTCTATTCTTTTCCTATCTTTATTTTTCTTTTTTCTTCGTTCGTTCTTCCTTCTTTTTCTTTCTTTCTTTCTTTCATTCATTCTGTCTTTCCTTTTCTTTCTTTTTTCTTTCTTTCTTTCATTCTATCTTCCTTTTCTTCTTTCTTTCTTTCTTCTTCATTCACTTTCCACCGTTAGTGTTTTCTTTGTTCTATTTGTTATCTTTTCTTGTTTCTTCTTCTCTCCTTTCTTTCTTTTTCTTTCTTCTTCTTTCTTTATTTTTCCTCTTCTCTATTTTCTTGCCGCTGTTCTTCTTCTTTCTCTGTTTCTTTCTTTTTCTTTCTACTTCCTCTTTCGCTTTCCTCTTAATCTATTTTATTCGTTCTATTCTTGATATTTTTTTCTTTCTTTTCTTCGTTCTTCCTATTTTTATTCTCCAGTTTTTCCTTTTGCCTCTTTCTTTCCAAAATATACATTCATGTTTTCTTTCTTTCATTTTCCTTCCAACCTGCTTCTATCTTCGTTTTATTCTTCCTTTTCTACAATACACATTTCATTCATCTTTTTTTCCTTCGTTCTACTTTCATTAGTTCTACCTTCATTTTTTACTTTCTTTCCTTCTTTTGCCTTTCCCAAATAGATTTTTTCAATGTTTTATTCATTTTATTTGATTTACTTTTGTTTTTCATTCATTTTTCGTCACACAATTTCTTTCATCTCTATTTCTTTTATTTTCCTTCTCTTTCTTTTCTCTTATACTTCATTCGTTTTCTAATTCTTTCTTTCTTTCTTTCTTTCTGTTACATCGAATCTTTTTCTTTTCTTTTGAGCTCCTTCCAAAACACCTTTTACGACATTTTTCTTTTGTTCTATCAACTAACATTTCTCATCAATTCTCCACCTCCTTTACTCTCTCTCCCTTTTTCTCACTTTCTTCTCTCTGTCTCTCTCTTTCTCTCTCTCTCTTTCTATCTCTCTCTCTTCTCTTTTTCTCTTTCTACCTCTATCTTTTTCTTATTTTTTCTCTCTTTCGCTCCCTCTCTTTCTCTCCCTCTCTCTCCCTCCCTATTTCTCTCCTTCCCTCTTTCTCTCTTACTCTCTCCTCCTCCCTCCCTCCTTCATTTCCCTTTCTCATGTCGTCTCTTATCTCCAATTGATATATCAATATTGTTATTAGACATTTACCCCTCTCTCTCTCTTCCTCTATCTATTTCTTACTCTCTCTCACTCACTTTCTCCCCACTCTCTCTCCCTCTTACTCTACCTATCTCTCTCTTTCCCTCTTTCTCTCTTACTCTCTCTCTCCCCCTCCCTCCCTCCCTCTTTCTTTTCCTTTTCGGAATATATATATAGATAGATAGATATAGATATAGATATAGATAGATAGACAATATAAGTGGTAAATATACACATACATACATAAAATATATATATACATACATGCATAAAAATAATTCATATATATTTTGTATAAAATATATATTCAATCTTAGAATTATTTTTATACAAAAATGTATATATATATATATATATATTACCCTCTTATATATTATATTATATTATCTTATCTCTCTCTCTCTCTATATATATATATATATATATATATATATATATATATATATATATATATATATGATTGATATATTGATATTGTTATGATTGGACATTTACCTCTCTATTCTTCTCTCTCTTTCTCTTCTTCTTCTTCTGCTTCTTCTTCTTCTTCTTCTTCTTCTTTTACCTTTTTTATCTCGTCTCTTATGTCGGATTGATATATCGATATTGTTATGATTGAACCTTTACCGCAGCTGAACTCAGCATTTTCAGCTTCCACTCGCTAATTGGTGTTGCGTCCTCTTTGCTGAATGTTGTGTTTAGGATTTGCTTCTTAAGTAAATGTTGTGTTGACGTCATTCAGGATTTAAGCTCCTATTAGCTAATTACAAATGGCCGCTAACAAAACAAAAGTGATTCTGTAACACTATGACTGCTTCGCTCCTTCACAATTGTTTGAAAGATGATTTCCTTCGAATGGCTATTCCTGAATCTTTTTAGATTATCCCCAACAACCAAAATGTGGCTCTGCTCCATAGATAAACTTCCTATTAAAGTATTGTCTGATCGCAAACACGCCAACCTTTAGCAATTTCATGGTTGCGTGGGTCGCTTAACGCTTACCTGCACAGAAAATGTAATCGGCGAGTCGAGTTCAGATTCCAGGTTAACCGGCTGAGTTCACTTTCCAACTTTCCTTGGGAAAGACATGAATCCGTCTCTCTCTGCCCCCGGATATGGATTAAATTGTAGGGTAGACTGGGATCTATATCCTTTTGTGGATTCTTGACCAGTAAAATGATCTGAATTCATATATTTATATATATATATATATATATATATATATATATATATATATATATATATCTTTAAATAAAGTGGACCTCATATCTAAGTCACTTATCGACCAACGCTTTTTTCAAAGATATTCGTTGGCAATATTAGATATAAATGGGTACAAAGACAATTAATGAAATGAATGAGGAGGAAAAGGTGGAACTCGAACACACACACACACACATATATATATATATATATATATATATATATATATATATATATATATTCTGTTTATACGTTATTTTTATTGATACAATTTGTTTAAGTAAATGGTCTGTTTTTAATTAAATAATATTAATTACATTAATTACATTTACCGGCCTGAATGTTCGAGAAATTTCATAGAAAATATGAGTTTTTCGACAGGAATCGAACAAACTATACGGTCATTTAACCTGACGTGCTGTACCATTCAGTTACAGACGCTTTAGTGGGCAGTGAGGTCAACGCCGAGCGGCGACAGTCTGTTTCATGCTTGAACGCAATCTCCAGGGGTATGCTGTACATCTGATATTGACTATTTTAACCCATAAATTTGGCATAACATAAAACTATATTTTATTATTCATAAAAGTGAACATTGTAGTCAACATTTAGAGGCGACAGTCTGTTAATCATTTCACTCTAAGCAAGGCAATGATGACACTAAGCTGCAATGATCAGGGTTGTGTGTATGGGTGTGGACATAGAATAATTTATTGTTGATTTCTATGTTTACAGTGTTTATATCTATAAATACAGATCATTCTAACCTCACCCACCCTAAATATATAAAATTTTAGATATTGTAAATTCTCATTCCTAGTCGCTTATCATTCAAGTCAGAAGATGAAAAATCGGAGAGCTCAGTTTAAATTCCGGTCAAGTTGTTTACATGCACTTATGTGCAAACTCTCTAGGGAAAGTTATGAAGCCATCTCCTCTTTCCTCCAGGTGTTGGTTAAATACAGAAGTAACTGGCCGACATAGCAGTGATTGCCGATCAGTCTCTAAAAAGGAAATCTCTGAATTCAAAACCGTATGTCGTCCTGACACTACGATAGAGATAACTTAAGCAAGACCTCTCAAGAGGTTTCGACTAAAGTCTATCATCAGAAGCAACTAATTGAACAAGAGTTGTGCAAAAATCCATGTAATCGATTATGTAGCTATTGTATTGTATTGCATATATTAATAGTTTAAATTTTGACATATTTATAGGGGATATTTTGACATATTTATAGGGGATATGTTGGCCTATTTATAGAGGATATTTATGGGTTAAATTGTTCAATATCAGGAATAGAATGCATGTCCACTTTTATACATATATATGCGTGTGTGCATATATATTGTCTTTAAATTACGTATATATATGTATGTGTGTGAGAAAGAGTGTGTGTGTGAGAATGTGTGTGCTCCCATTAAATTCTCTTATATGTGTGTGAGCCGCACCAGATAATTATGAACAAATTATAAAGAAAGAAAAAGGTTTTTAGCAAAAAGAAATCAGCATATTTTCAAATTAAATTGTTAATTGACTTCGGAAACGGCGACACGAACGAATTAGTTGCATTCTCGCGGTGGCGGCCTTCAACATTCCCTTAGTATTTTTTTAAGCATTTCACCCCAAACAAGGCATGGGTGCCACTAGTACGCCGAGGGGTGGGGTTACACAGAGTGAAAGTAAGAAAGAAAAACAGGGTATTGGGGGAATTGCAGAAAGAATAAAAGATGAATGGGATTCAAGAAGACAGATGGTGATTGACGTTGTCAGGGAAGCAAGTAAGAGGAAGTGAGTTCCAATGTCGGGAAGTACGCGTAAAGAAACTGTTGAAGTAGAAGTGACGGTTACATTTAACAATTTCAACAGTAAAAGCGTGACAATAGGGTGGGGAAGCTCGTTAGAGCAGTAGCCATGAAAATATTTGTGGAAAAGACAGAGGGAAGCCACGTCAGGATCGATTACATTACAGATCCTTCTTTGGATTTTGCCGAGAACCTCGAGATAAGCAATGGGGCACCAGACCATATATGGCAACAGTATTCCATACATGGACGAATGGTAGATTTGTAGATGTGAAGGATGGACTCAAACGAGAAGAACCAACTTTCCTTGCAGTAGATGTAGCTATTGATTCAATGTAGTTGTTCCACCTCAGGTCAGTGGAGAACGTGAGACCAGGAAGGCGCAATGAGGCGCTCGCGTGCAGTTGAGCATCAACCAGGCTGATAGGATGCAGGGACATTTCTCTATGGTGAATAAATGACAGCAGTTTTGTTTAGATGCATTAAAATTAGGGTCTACTTGGTGCTGGTGAAGAAATGTCTTGTGTTTAGTTTTGCATGTATCAGCCAATCTTTTCCCATTGACAAATAAGAGATCAGTTGGCAGGTGGTATTATCTGCACACACACACACACACACACACACACACACACACACACACACACACACACATATATATATATATATATATATATATATATATATATATATATATATATATATATATATGGAGTATTAGCAAATTGATGAATTATTCTCCAGCTTGCAACTCTTATCCCACAGATAAAACCTTGCTAGCCTTTTACTGGTATATCGTTACTATGGCAAATGTTCTGACCAGTTAATTTGCATAGTTCAACCAGCTGAAGACATTCACAGCTATGACTCCGTTTACGATGGCAAACCATCCCTATTCCCTTTGATAAAATAAAACAAGGAGAATCCTTCTCTGACAATTACACTGTTGCTCCAGGGTCAACTGATATCTATCCCACTTGTCCACTCTGACTTCTTTCTTCCTTACAATCTCACTCAATAACCTTCTACCAGGAGTGGCTCTTGGGCCTTGCATTGGGTGAATTAACAGTAAAAAGAAATCTGCCATATCAGTGAGAGATGAACAGCAGACAATAATAAGTGCTTGTGAGACTAGTGGGGTTAAAATAAAACATAATATATAAAATATATGAGTCACGTGTCGAATTTCTCAACCTTAGAATAAGTCATCGTATTGTTTTCATTCATAAATATTTAACATGGCTGCCAGAAATGGCAACATATCGCCTGGACAACGCGAAAGAAGTAAAACAAAAAAACTGCAGGCATTTTTAGCTGTTTAGATTCAGAAAGATAAGCAAACAAAGAATAGAAAATGGCACGGGCGAAGGGAGGTGACATGACAAGTGAAAAATCAGATATTTCATCCATACGAACATTTATAAAAGCTATAATATAGACAAAAATGATTTATGAGAATTTTATAAAACTTCCGTTTAATTTCTAGTCGTCTGAATGTATGTTTGCTTACATGTTTATTTATTTGTTTCTTTCTTTTATCTTTCTAGCCTTTCATTTTGAATGGCTTTTTTGTTAATCTCCTTCATTACAGATATTTTGCTTTTTCTTTTCTTAGTTGCTTTTATTTTCTCTTGTCTTTTTCACATTCATTTCTTTATATTTATATCTTTTCCCTTTTTCATTATTCAGTTTCTTCCTTCTGTTTCATATTTTCCGGGATTTTCTTTCTTCCTTCATTATTTCTTTCATTTATTCTTTCTTTCTTTACTGTTTCTTTTTCATTTTATCATTTTCTGCTTCGTATTATTCCCTTATTCTCCTTGCAATCTTTTGTTTTTCAATTTCATTTTCATTCTTTTTTATTCTTCTCAATTATTTTTTTTTTGTCACTCTTTCAAATTTTTATTTATTTTTATTTTTCTCGCTTTTATTTCATCTCTTTTCATTCTTCATATTTCATTTTTTTTACATTCATTTGTCTTTCTTGTTCGTTTTCTTTCTTTCCTTTCATTATTCTCGGTTTATTGTCATTCTTCCATTTTTTTCTTTCATTTTCTTTATCCATCTTTCATTCTTATTTCGTTCTTATCTTTCACCAGACTTTCTGAACTTTCTTGTTGTTTTCTCTTCCTATTCCCCCCCCCCGTTTTCTTGTCTCCCTTTTATTCTTCTTTCCTTCTCATTCATTTTCTGGGTGTTTTTTTTTTTTAATTTTTAACTTTCTTCTTTCATTTTTATTCGTCTTTTCATTCTTTTATACTTCTTTTGTTCTTTTTATTCTCTACATTCTAATTACTTTTTATTCTTTTTTTTTTTCCTTCCTAATTTTTCAGTATCCATTCTTGCTTACCATTTCATTATCTAAATAATGGCTACATTTAATTTTTTCCTTTTTTGGTTTTCTTTCTTTTTCTCCTTATTTTTTTCATCGTCCACCCTTAGATTTCTTTTATTCCTTCCTCCAGTTCATCAGATATTTTCCCTCGTCGTTTCAGGCTTCCATTTAACCGCGCTTGATTTTCTCCTTTTCATTCATTCAATTCTATTTTTCTTCTTTCATTTGCTTGCCATACCATCTTCCTTTTTTCTTCTTCACATTTTACTTCTTTTCGTTTCTCACTTTTCTTCTTTTCGTCTTTTTTACTTTTCTCTTTGTTTTTCTTCACTTTTCATTCCTGTTTTTCGTGGTGATTTCCTTCTTTCACGTTTCCCTCCTTTTCTTTTTCTTTCTTTTATCTTCGATTTTCTTCTTTTATGACTTTTTCTTTTTTTACATTTTCCTCTTTCTTTCACATTTCTCGCCATTTTCCAATTTTCTATCCTCTCTGTCATTCCCCTGTTTTTTTTTCATCTCAGAACTCTCTCTCTCTCTCCTCTCTTCCCCCCCCTCTCTCTCTCTCTCTCTCTCTCTCTCTCTCTCTCTCTCTATCGACACGCTGACACATAGAGATGACCTAATCATAACACAGGCTGACAAAGGGGGTGCGACAGTGATCTGGGGAATCGAAGAATACATTAAAGAGCCCAACAAACAGCTAGCCGACAAAGAAACCTATAAAAGCTTACCTACAGATTCCCTTCCCGAATACCAAAAAGAATTAACTAGCTCACTAAACATAATGCTTCGCAACAATTTAATCGACAAGGAAACATGCACAAAACTTACACCCACAAACATTACACCTGCTCGTTTCTATCTCCTTCCTAAAATACACAAAAGCAACAACCCAGGAAGTCTGGTTATTCCATCGTTCAACTGCCACACGACAAAAATTTTCAAATGCATAAACCATTACATGCAACCGCTAGCTAAGGAAGTAAAATCCTACATAAGAGACACAACAGATCTACTGAACAAAATTAATCACATACAAACAGTTCCAGAGAAAGCTATTCTAGTGACTATGGACGTTAGATCACTCTATTCAAACATTAAACACATCGAAGGGCTAACCGCCATTCAGGAATCACTTACTAAAAGAAGAAAACAGGACCCCCCCCCCACAGAAGTTATCATAAAACTCATGGAGCATGTCCTTACATTGAATACTTTCAACTTCAATGGAGCACACTACCTTCAAATAAGAGGTTGTGCCATGGGCACCATTGCAGCTCCATCATATGCTACAATATTCATGGGAAAATTTGAGGAGACCCATATCTATCCAATCATTGGTAGTGACTGCGTATTCTATGCAAGATATATCGATGATATATTCTTTGTATACACGGGTAGTGATGACAAACTTACCCAATTTCTTATGAACCTAAACACAGTGCACGACTCAATTAAGTTTGATTATGAAAAATCCACAACATCAGTAACATTTTTAGACACCCGCATTTACATAGATGAAAACAGGAAACTACAAACGACACTACACACTAAAATCGCCGACACCCACAACTATCTACACTTTAAGTCTTCCAACCCTAAACAACTCAAAGAGAACCTTCCCTATTCACAAGCACTTAGACTCAGAAGGATATGTTCCAACAATGAAGAATTAAATAAACACATTGAAAATCTGGAGCATCAATTCACAACACGTGGCTATAAACAACACCTAATCAGGGAACAAATAAATAAAGCAATTTCTACACCTAGAAAAGACACCCTAATGTATAAGATTAAAAATAAATCTAGCCGCATTTCTCTAGTAACCACTTTCAACCCCACTCTGCCTCCACTATCCTAAATAATCAAACGTCGCTGGGAAATACTACATCTCAAACCAGACCTAAAAAAAATTGTTTAAGGAACTCGGCCTTCTTGCATATCGTAGAACTAAGAACCTAAAAGAAATCATAGGTAGTAACCACATTTCAGGGGACAAGGTAATCCGTAATAAACTAAGAACATAAACAACAGGATTTTCCCAACCATGTAACAACAAAAGAAGTTTATGTTCCAACCATATTAAACACACGAATTCATTCACTAGCTCAATCACTAAATCTACTTTCAAAATCTACCACGATTCTAACTGTAGTAGTCATAACATAATTTACCTCCTAGAATGCACACTATGCCAGAAACAATATGTAGGAAAATCTGAATGGCCCTTTCACTACAGAATTAATAATTATCGCAATCGAATTAAGTCGACTCCCCATGAAAAATTATTACCTGTAGAACAACATTTCCGCCTGGAAAAACGCGATTTCAAAACCCATGACAAATTCACTATAATTGAGAGAATAGAAAAGTTTAGAGCAGATAACATTAGAAATATTTTAGAGTACCATGAAAATAAGTGGATACAACGTCTAAAAACACAATATCCAGCCGGGCTAAACCATAAATTTAACAATATAGATAGTACTAATATATAGCTCAACAAATCAAAACCTACCCACATTTCTCACCCACACAAGACAGACATGCTTACGGAGGTGTTGAGGCCTCACACTTATACACACACCCACACGAATATACACACTTACACACATCATACTCACTCACTCCCTAATGAGCCAAATGATAACACACACCCACAGCAATACACACACTTACACATATCATACTCACTCACTCCCTAAGAACCAAATAACACACACAAACACTAAACAGAGACACATCCCCTCTCCAAAACCAATAAAACTGACCAAGGGGATTCAGAGAAGCATAGATCCATCCAGCTCTTATCTCAAATAACAACTTAAAAGAGACTGTTTGACCAACACAAGGAATGTTAAAAGATTCATGTTAAAAAGATAAAAAAACAATAAAAAACAAATGAAAACTACAGACAAAAGTTCATTTTCTCCATCAAGACATTCACTGCTACCAGCAAGCAGAAATATTTATTCTCCCGATGATGGCCATTTTGGCCGAAACTAGTCGAGGAATCTAAATGAAATAATAATAAAAAAAAACGAAAGAATAATCTACTGAAGATGTCTGTGTCTGAAGATTTTAATATTTTTTTTTTATTGTTCAATATATATATATATATATATATATATATATATATATATATATATATATATATATATATATCAGAAATACCTCTTACTGTTTTATGTGCGAAGTATTTCTGGAAGGTATATGTGCGAGGTATTTCTGGGAGTGATATGTGGGAGGCATTTCTAGAATGTATGCGTGGCAGGTATTTCTGGAAGATGTATGTGGGACATATTTCTACCTCACTCTGTATTTGGTAACAGCCCAGAGTTCGATTGGGATTCACAGATGAAAATATTTATTATTTCGGACATAATTCCTAAATTAAGTTATCATTATTTACACTCTATTCTTGCAGAGTATAATCTTCATCGCATGCCTAGAGATATCTCGCCTAGTTCTTATGAGAACTAGATGAAATATCTCTAGACGAGAGCAATCTATTCGTTTAAATGAAATAAAGGGTTCAGTTCCGTATACCCATTAGGTTACCTGGACCGACATTCACATAAGAAAGACAAAACGACCGAAACGTTGTGATAACAACAATAAAGATGAGGACAATAGCCGGCAGATAAATAATGTAAATAATTATTTATTATTATCAGTCGGGATCGTAAAGCCATTGTGACCTCCACGGTCATTTCATAAAGCTGTAGATAATAGGTGTTTCGACAGGGCTACATACGGCTCTTGAATGGATGTCAGTTATCAGTTAATTTCTCTCTGAAAGTTCTCCATTGAACTCACAATCTTTGGGTCCTGTCACTGGATCTAACTAACGCCTTTATCCATGTAGCCTTGAGGACATCTGTGTATGAATTTCTGGGTATTATAAACCTAATGTCTTCAGCAAACATTTTTTTACCAGTGCTCATATTGCATTGTGTGCTGTTATCATTGCATGTTTTTACCAGAGCTCATAACAAACACTATTTACCTTATTCGGACTAATGTCCTCATCTTTGTCGCCATATTTATTACAACGTTTCAGCCGTTGTATGCTCCGGCCTTCTTCAGGTGGGTGGAATGTCGAACCGAACCCTTTATTTCGCTCACTGGGGTACACTGTCCTCAAGGACACATGGCACAGTGGATAAAGGCGTTACATCCAGTAATAGGACCCAAAGAGTGTGAGTTCAATAACTGGTTAAGGTGGTGGAGACTTTGGACAGGGGAATTAACAGGAGATAACTGATAACTGACATCCATTAAACATTGCACGTGGAACTAGAACAGTCTACCCCAGTGAGCGAAATAAACATTCCAGCCGGAGCGTACAGTGACCGAAATATTGTAATAAATATGGCGACAAAGATGAGGACAATAGCCCGAATAATGTAAATAGTGTAAATAATGCCTCATATCAGAAATATAGACAGATACTGAAGGGCCGAAACGTTGTAATAAATATGGCAACAAAGATGGGGACAATAGTTCGAATAACGTAAATAATGTACATAATGCCTCATCTCAGAAATGTAGACAGATACTGAAAGGCCGAAACATTGTAATAAATATGGCGACAAAGATGAGAACAATGGTCTGAACAATGTAAATAGTGTACATAATACCTCATATCAGAAATATAGACAGATACTGAAAGGCCGAAACGTTGTAATAAATATGGCGACAAAAATGAGGACAGTAGTTCGAATAATGTAAATAGTGTACATAATACCTCATATAAGAAATATAGACAGATACTGAAAGGCCGAAACGTTGTAATAAATATGGCGACAAAGATGAGGACAATAGTTCGAACAATGTAAATAGTGTACATAATACCTCATCTCAGAAAAATAGACAGATACTGAAAGGCCGAAACGTTGTAATAAATATGGCGACAAAGATGAGGACAATAGTCTGAACATTGTAAATAATGTACATAATACCTCATCTCAGAAATATAGACAGATACTGAAAGGCCGAAACGTTGTAATAAATATGGCGACAAAAATGAGGACAGTAGTTCGAATAATGTAAATAGTTTACATAATACCTCATCTCAGAAATATAGACAGATACTGAAAGGCCGAAACGTTGTAATAAATATGGCGACAAAAATGAGGACAATAGTCTGAACATTGTAAATAATGTACATAATACCTCATCTCAGAAATATAGACAGATACTGAAAGGCCGAAACATTGTAATAAATATGGCGACAAAGATGAGAACAATGGTCTGAACAATGTAAATAGTGTACATAATACCTCATCTCAGAAAAATAGACAGATACTGAAAGGCCGAAACGTTGTAATAAATATGGCAACAAAGATGAGGACAATAGTTCGAATAACGTAAATAATGTACATAATACCTCATCTCAGAAATGTAGACAGATACTGAAAGGCCGAAACGTTGTAATAAATATGGCAAGAAAGATGAGGACAATAGTCTGAACAATGTAAATAGTGTACATAATACCTCACCTCAGAAATATAGACAGATACTGAAAGGCCGAAACGTTGTAATAAATATGGCGACAAAAATGAGGACAGTAGTTCGAATAATGTAAATAGTGTACATAATACCTCATATAAGAAATATAGACAGATACTGAAAGGCCGAAACGTTGTAATAAATATGGCGACAAAGATGAGGACAATAGTCTGAACATTGTAAATAATGTACATAATACCTCATCTCAGAAATATAGACAGATACTGAAAGGCCGAAACGTTGTAATAAATATGGCGACAAAGATGAGGACAATAGTTCGAACAATGTAAATAATGTACATAATACCTCATCTCAGAAATATAGACAGATACTGAAAGGCCGAAACGTTGTAATAAATATGGCAACAAAGATGAGGACAATAGTTCGAATAACGTAAATAATGTACATAATACCTCATCTCAGAAATATAGACAGATTTTAATATTGATGTTTGCATGGATAACTAGTGATGGCGGCGTTATGCTTCCATTCATCTTCCCACATGGCTTCAGACTCAACACGGATGCCTTCATCAAGTACCCTGAGGAGCAGATGTTTTTCTTGGACATGATGGCGGTTGATGGAAGATCCTATATCTGGTTACAAGATTCTGCACCAAGCCACACAATCAGAACACAGTCATGGCTGTCAGACAATTTCTGCGACCAAATCAACCCTTATATCGGGCCAGCGAACTCTCCAGACTGCAGCCTCATTGATTATTAGACTGAGGCGAAGTTGAGTGAGGTGACCAACAAAATTCTTTGTAACACTAAAGATGAACTGAAGGCAAGGATCATGTCAGTATTCACCAAGGAAGGTTTTTTTTTTTTGTTTGACCTTCCTGGACAGATGCAGGAGATTCCGAAGTCGTCTGTAGGCTGCGGTTGAAGCCAATGGCGATTTTATGGAATAAATTTAGTCTTTTGTATTTCAAGATATTTGTGTAATTTTGGTAAATATATCTGTTAAAATGAGATGTCAGTGTTATTTTCATTTTTGCGTAAATTAGACAAAAATTTATCTATCGCACCCTGTATAAAAGCATATACTTATTTTGATAGCAATTAGGTTAGTGTATCATGTCTTATTGGATTGGAGATATTGTAATTTTTTAAAAAGAAATAAATTTGCTTCATTGTTTTATCGGATTGAAGACCTTACTTATCAATCAAACTTTGTAATTTATTCTAAATATTTCTTTCCTTTTTCCTCTCCTTCCTGCCTTTTTCTCATGTACTTTCTCTCTTTCAGTCTCTTTTCATCATCATCATCATCATCATCATCATCATCATCATCATCATCATCATCATCTTCTTCTTCTTCTTTTTTCTCATTCCTTTCTTTTCTATGGCTTTCCATTCTGTCTATCTCTCCCCTTCTCTCTCTCTCTCTCTCTCTCTCTCTCTCTCTCTCTGCCCTTCACATGCTTTCCTGTGACTGTAAATTTGTTTCCCTCTATTTCTCTCTCTTTCTCACTTTTAGTCCCTTTACTTCTTCTTCTTCTTCTTCTTTTTCTTCTTCTTCTTCTTCTTCTTCTTCTTCTTCTTCTTCTTCATTCTATTTCCTCTCTTTTCTTCTTATAACTATCATTTTATTCATATATCACTTTCTATTATTTTCCTTCTGTCACTTTTAATCGCCTGCTCCATATAAAATATACATTGCATATTTTCCATCCATTTAATTATCATTTCGCCGACTAACCCATATAAATTATCAACACCCATCTACTGTTGTGTCTTGAGAGATATAAACTGTAGTTCTGTGCCTTTCAAGAAATTCTAACCGACACTTTTTGAGACTTATTGGATTTAGGAGAATGCTTTTATTTCTATGTCTTTCAGTGCTGATAAAAGTCAATTTTGGCTTCACCAGTAAACTCGGTAAGTTCCACCAGAATATATTACGGTCTTATCCAATAATTTCACTCATTTCTTTGCAAGAATAATTTCGGGAAATTTGGCACGAGGATTTCGACAGCTTTCAGAAATTAACTTTCATCCACTGTTTCATTTTTTTTTTTTTTTTTGTTTTTGATAGAAGAAAAAACTATGTGCAATAGTTCATTTTTAAAGGGATAATATATATATATACATATTTAAATAAGTTTTCTGTAGTACAAAATTTAAGGATAGCTAGGAATAAGCATAATTTATATGGCATTTTCATGTATATTTTAAAAAGCTATAAAAAGGAACCGGTTTCGTTCCGGCCTTATCAAGTTTATTTCTGGGATATAAAAAATAAACGTGTTAATTTAATTGATATTAATGATAACCATGCCAGGAAAAGTCAACTAATTAATAGTTCTGGCTCTTCTATTGCAGAGCATGTTATAAATAGTAGGAATTGTGTCTTTGATTTTAGGGTGGACCGTTTTTCGATTTTATCAAGGTCTCACTCCTCATATCACCTCAAGGTTCTAAAGTCCTTGTATATCAGATCCCGTGGGCCTTCCCTCTGTTTACAGAGGGAATGCTTACTAGGTCTGAATGTTATTGAACTCTAGCAGTTGAAATTCATATTTTTACGCCTCTATTGGTTATCATTAATATCAATTAAATTTACACGTTTATTTTCTATATCACAGAAATAAACTTGATAAGACTGGGACGAAACAGGTTGTTTTTTAGCTTTTTAAAATATACATTAAAATGCCATATAAATTATGCTTATTCCTAGCTATCCATACATATATATATATATATATATATATATATATATATATATATATATATATACTTCCAGACAGTTCATATCTATCTATCTGTTAAAGTGAAATTGACTTTAATTCAATTAGTAGAGTAAAAATGTCTTAGTAGTTTTCCGCAGAATTTAAGATTCATATCATATAACAAAAAAATTTTGTGGATTTATAAGTTTTCAAAATTGAAACAAAATTCTTACTGATCGATTTGAACAAGGACTCTAGCGTTGCGGCATCGCACACTCCAAAACATATATTCAAATGTAAATAAATAGCATAATTTTAAAAAAACATCTTTCGGCCTACACACATTTTGTCTTAGTGCATACCTGTATATATATTGCTCACTGAAGATGACAATTTGATATTGTCGAAAGTACTTGCAATGTATCTTCCATCTAACAACAACTCGAATATAAGGATCTTATTATTCAAGGAATTGATAGTAAGTTAATGCCTCATTAAGTCCTGTTAGCGAAGTGATTTCGCCATTAATCACATTAATATTGCTACTTAATTATTTATATAAATTGTTTCTTTATTATTATATATATATATATATATATATATATATATATATATATATATATATATATATATATGCTTATTTGCCTCATTTTAAAACAATATACAATGATTTCATAATCTCCACTTTGTTTTTTCCTAAGTTTTAGCGGCCGACAGTAAGTACTTTATTCTTTATCGCCCAACTTATAATACCCAGAGACGTTCCTTATTGATATAGATATTACGACTCACTTTGCCAAATTATTTGAACGATATTTAAAGTATTTTATCTACAGTTTCACTATAAGTATCTCTTTGTTATAACGGAAAATATCAACTTTTCTGTTGGACCAAATACTTTGCACTTACGTTAAGTTCTTGAATGTCTATAAATTTTATCCCACGTTCCATCATTTTATCTAATCTTTACAAGAGTCAGCTCAGACTAAAAATGGAGTTTTTGCTACCTTTTATATGTGCTGGGATCTGCTTACTTTCGAGCCTTGATAGTGTTCAAATCTGCGGCCTTACCGGTGATGTTGGTTCAACCCTAAAACTACTTTCCTATAGAGGAAACGTTGATAATCTCTCACTGTTCTCTCGCTATTTCCATGGCAAATGTTCAAGCAAGCTATATTCTTTAGTTCCACCAGTTCAGACCTTCACAGCTAGGACACGCCAGTCCACTAACACAGGACTCGTCTTCAATCCCTTCGTAGTTCGGAATGAGAAATTTCATTCACTTACCCTTGAAAAAGGTATAAATTCATCCCCTCCACCAGATATGAGTTAAATAATAGGACTTGTAGCAGGAAAATCATTGTTGTAACTCAAAAATATTGTTAATGCAATATTTACTCACAAGAAATAGAAATATTCTTACAAACTAAAATATGTATCGGTTTTAAATGACCCACCAATGTGTTAGTAAGCCGTAAAAACAAATCAATCACTAAATCGGACATCGGTAGAAAATGTGCTCTTAATTCCACCATTGGTCTCGTTTATATTATTGCATTCAATGTTTCCAATTTCAATTCAAAATATGAATTTAGAAAAAGAAGTACTTTTAATCGAAACACAAAAATGTCAATTTATTTTATTCGAGAAAAATAATTCGTTAACGATAGTGATTTTCCAAGCTTAGCTTAGATGTGGCACAAGGCCGAATGAACGGGGCACCCAGTGAAGATCGAATTCAATACTCAATCGTAATTGTTCTAGCAAGACAAGCTTGCTAACCATTATCCCACCTCGAGGTGCCCTAATTCGTTAAGAATAGGGTTTAAATCCATTTGCTTCTGGGTCGATGATAAAGACTATATCTCTGGTATAAATTTCTTCTGGATTTTATTGACAAGTGCAAAAATTTCCGTTAGCTTGCTACTATTACAGAAGTATGGCGGGGTCGTGACAGTTATCGGCATATAAAGCCTTTTGCATTCAATACTTCCTAATGTCTTTTGGAAAAGAATGGATCCAACTCTTATCTACTTAGCTATGGCGACATAATAAGGTAGACTGGGCTCTCTATCTGTGTTTGGACAACTAACCTCGAAGAATGTCAGCTCTGAATTGAAGCCCCCTAACAGCACGTCATAGGGGAGTGTGACAGAGTAAAGTCTATTACTCCCCCATGCCTGACAGGTTTGGGGAAAGAAGAGATTTGAAGTGGACTGATATGAAAGGTTGATATAAATAAATTACAGCAACATTAACTGCGATTAAGATGTTTGTTCACTCTCGTCTAAAATAATTGTACTTTTGTTTCTTCTGGTTCTGAAGGAAATCGACTTGTGAAATATTAGAACTAAGTTGTATTAATTTATTAAATATATAATTTATTAATATAAAGTATTTTTGTTAAGAATGTTATTTATTGTTTATTTATATAGTTTCCTCATGGGCACGTGGCCAAGTGGATAGAAGTTTGGCATTTTGACCATGAGACCCGGGTTCGAATTTGTCAGGGCTGGAGAGGTCGATCCCTTTGTTATCGGACTGGAGGGGTCTATCTCTTTGTTATCGGACTGGAGGGGTCTAACCCTTTGTTATCGGACTGGAGAGGTCGATCCCTTTGTTATCGGACTGGAGGGGTCGATCCCTTTGGAAAGTGCCTGTAAACCAAACCATGGGTTGACCCAAAAATTGTGAGTGAAAGTAGATAGACGGAACCCTTGGGGGCCCGTCGATAGCTGTGCTAGCACGAAGTCACAAGTCATCGTGGCCGAGGGTTTGAGTGTGCTGAACTTGTTCAAATTGTTGATCACTCTAGATAACACGCGCTTTCCCAGAAACAGTAACTAAGATCTGCTCAGAATAGTTGAAGTATAAATGATAGGTGAACTCCATGGGTGTTGAATAAACACAAATGTGTCTGAGCAAGTGTCTGCAATAGGGATTAGCTAGCCACTCTAGCAGACGGGTATCCTCGAATACGAGTGGCCAGCTATACTATATAGTTTTCTTAGTATCGTATATTCAGTTTCTTCAATAATATGTGAAGAATCTTATATTAAATATAAAGTGAAAATATTTAACAATATTCTACAATTATAGTATCTTCTGTTTATTTATGAAGTATATCATTATTAAGTTATATTAATTGATTAAGTACTAACTTAAAAGCTGCACTTGTGTGAACCTTTAAGATTGATCCTGCGGATGGGGGGGTAATTAGGGCTGCGGCCTAAAATTAAAGGGACCTCTGGTCCAGCTTAACAAAACAGCAATTATAATTTTAAAGAAATAACTTTGAATTCCTCAATTCATTCCATAGAACTTCAAAATCTCACTTGAACTCTAATTCGAGCTATAAATCCAATTTCAACCAAAAGACAGATTTCAAGGTTACAGCATATGTCAGACACCTGATGAAGATCAGAGAATACAACAGCCAAAATGTTTCGACTTTAGCAACCAAAATGAGCATACTAGAACACATAAGAAAGGCAATAATAAATCATCTTGAAAATTCTGTCATAAATTAACAATATTCCATATATCTGAATAAATTATGTTTTTTCATTTTATACTACCTTCAAAAGCGGCAGTTCATGCAGACTTTTTAAGCAAAACCTCCATGGCCCAAAACTAATCTCTTGTCCAGCTTAGAAACAGCAATGATAATTTTAAGAAATAACTTTGAATTCCTCAATTCATTCCATCGAATTTCAAAACCTCACTTGAGCTCTAATTCGGGATATATGTCTAATTCCGGCGAAAAGACAGATTTGTTGTGAATTCAGGCCGAAAATTGAGTTCTTCAAATCACAAACTTCCGGGAACTTCAATTGAGTCGATTTCCACAAATCCTAAACTCTGTGGAACTTCAAAGCCTCACGCTACGAAACTTCTCACTTTAATTCTGATTCCTTGGCACTTTGAAGAAATAAAATTGATTTTCTCAATTCAAAAAGTTTTGAAAATATTTTAAACT